ACGGGGAAAAAAAACGATCCTAAGATAAATCAGACTCTGGGAAAAAACTCGCTACCGCACTAACCAGATCGGATTCTGGGGACAGGACCGGACTCTGGGAAAACGCCGAGTCCTGGTCTCATGGATCAGGCCGTTCGTTCGTTTGGCTGTGGCTTGTCATAAACGATCGTAAATTTTCAGTCGAAACAGTATTTTTCTCTCACACAAATCAGCCAGCAGTACTTCTTCACGAACCAGCCAACCGAACAGGCTGCCGTGGAGTTCGTGCAGACAAGAAATAAAGTGAAGAGAGAAATAAAGGGAAGGAAAAAAATTGGAGAAAGAAAAGAACAAAAGAAAAAAATAAAAGTTATAGGTGTTTCAGTGTTTTTTCACAGCCCGAAAAAACTATTTTACCAAAGGCTTTTCCATTCTAACATACGGAAGCAAAAAGAAAAGCTCATTTACTATAAAAATTATAGCTAAAGCTGTTTAAACTAGATCCAAGGTGTACGGCCGTGAATTGGGACACGTGTCCTTGTGGCATCATTGCCTACTACAGAAACAGGTACAATGGGACTAGCTTGCAGTACAAGGACACAAGCAGCAATCTTGCATGTCTGCTGATGCTTCGATATGATCGAGCACTGAATTCATTTTGTCAAATCAGCTCAACCTCATATATAATAAAAATCACACAAGTATTTAAAAAAAAGTAAAACTAATTTTATTAGGTTAATATAAACTAGATCTATACGATATAGGTGATAACAGTCATAAAACAGGCTATATATTTTCTATGTAATTAGATTTCTAGATTTTATAATATTTGCAACTCTTTATAATATTGGCATATTCTCCAACGCAGACTGAAACCCAACAAAACAACATCATGACTCTACTATCGAGGCTCTGGTCAACAGCCCAGAAAAACGAATATGATCCAGAAAATAAATGACAGAGCTGCTTCCACAGAATAAATAAGGTAAGACGCCCGCTGCTTCAGTTTTCCTGTCAAGGTTAACCAGCAGACCGGATGAACAACTTCATGATATCCAAAACAATTAGTGCCTTATTCATCCAGATAAATGAGTCGGCAAAAGGCCCACAAGATTCCGGTGCATGAGCTGTGTTTGATCTGCTAGTCTTCGAAAAGGGTAGTAACAAGGAGATGCTGCACAAAAGCTGATCTCACAACAGCTCTCCTCCTCCTACGCTCCCTCTCTTCATGACTAAGGTTGGAATCAACAGCACTGAAAAAAAAGGTAATGCCTTAACATAAAATCATGCACTCAGAAGAGTTTAAAATCCTGTCACAGTAATTGCATCTCATCTACATAGAAATAAGAGATGACCCATCACCATGCTTACCTTGTTTAACATATATGACTACAACACTCAATAAAGTGGGGTTGCATAAGACTTTTCATTTCAATTCGACTACCACTAACCATATAGGTGGTCCAACTTCATGTGTGTATATGCATTAACTCAATTTCTCGCTATCTGCTACAGTTCAGCAAGCTTACTTCATGGCTAGACGAGAACCAGAAGTGCTGGATCTGGTACCATTTGTAATACTATTTCAAAAATAAAATTTCATCAATAAAGAACGTAAGAACAATATATAATTAAACATGTTTCATAAATTTACACTCCAGGCATGTTTAGTCAAACTTAAGTTCATATGTATAAGAGGGGATTAAGCTTGGCAGAGCTCTACGAGTAAGCAAATCATTCAGTATAGAGTAAATTGCACCAAGGTACATGATAACATGAATTTGCACAGTAGGTGAAAAAAAGATCATAGCTTGATGCGTGATCAAATAGGTCACCCATCTTGGTTTACACCAATATTTGGAGCAAAACCAACCGTGCTGGCACTTTTGGCTCCAAACTGGACTCCAGCATGGCAACGGGCTCATGTGAGCAGTGAATGCGCTGGATTTGACAAAATAGCTTCGCAAAAGCTGTTTAGTTCATAATTAATTGAGTTTCCAGAACGTATATAGGCTAGGCCAAGCAAGATCTTACGTGCTGTTTGGTTCGTTTCTCAGTAACGTAAATGGAAACAAAATCAATTCAAATGGTATGTGTGGCGGTAACATCGGCAGCTTTAATTTGTTTTACATTTGCGTTACAGTGCTGCAACCAAACAGCACGTTAGTCTAATCAGGAACAAAAGTATGGACTTGGAGCTAAGTAGGTAGATATTAAGCAAAACTGAGAGTAATGTGGATGATGCATGCATCTTTAAGCTAAGTGTACCTAAACAGGTTTTATGGCTTAGTAATAAACTTTAAGCAATACACATTTTCATTCAAAAGAGGCTAGAGATTTCATCTGACATCGAACAGAAACCAGAGAGAGAGAGAGAGAGAGGAGAACAAGACTCAGCAAGCAAACTAATTGTAGTACGAGACAGGAGAACAAATGGATCATACCTTAATTTCCAAGTCTTTGAAGGTAGTGATCGTTTAAACCAATTATTTTCCACCAAAGCAGGAGATGAAGACTTTGATGTGTCTTCTACTTCTAATGAAGAGAAATTTAAAACTAGCGAGGATAGCAGTGAATCAGTCACTGTACTTGACGCATTGGTACTGCTGCTTCGACTGCTATTTCCAAGAAGCACCTTTAAGTAGGTCTCTTGAAGTTGAAGATCTCTCCCTGCATAGGAGAGATTGTGGTTGCCATTACCAGTAACTCTACGTACTCTGTGATGTCTCTGCAAGTGCACATCATTAAGGAAATATATGACACTTACAGTTCAACAAACACTTTTGCAAAACCCTGTTTAGTAAAACCTGTTTGTAAAGATATAATCATCTAAGAAGGATATTTTAAATAGGTAGCCATGCTGAAGGGTTATATGATCCAACAAGTCCTTCGAAATCCTAGCCGAGCAAACTGGGCAAGACTGTAGAGATATAAAAGTGAAGTTAGAAACAATAGAATTTATTATATATTTGATGCAATGTGCTGCGTTGCTCATATCATAATGCTAATAGCTAGTTTCTGTGCTTATGATGTATAGCCCAAAAAATAAAAAAGCTTTTCAGCATAAGGCCAAAAACCTTGTGGGAATATCTTACTCTAAGGTAGCTAGGTAAAGTTCAATATGAAAAGGAAATGAGAAAAATGAAAATTTATTGCTTCCAGTTCCAATATAGTGTGTCCTAAGAGTCCTTAAAGAAGTCTATAATACCATTGTGGGAATGCTAAATAAGCATTGTTTCTTTAGTAGTGTGTTCTACATGTGCATTACTTGGACAAACAGTATGCATGCTAATTGTTAAGTATGATAGAACAACAACAACAACAACAACAAAGCCTTTAAGTCCCAAACAAGTTGGGGTAGGCTAGAGTTGAAACCCAGCAGAAGCTAAGTATGACAGAACACTACAAAATTAAGTGTTAGTACACTGAATGAATATTCACAGAAGCAACTCATGTCAATGTGCACATAGGCAGTCAGCCCAAGATTTTACAGCACCTGAACCAGTTTTAGCTCCACTCAAAGTTCAAAAGATCTTAATTATCACTCAGACTAAGCTATGTTGTCCATACACATTTTTGCAATAGTTTCTGAAAAATCTTGCAGCATCTTCCATTCTTTTATTTGAATATTTCAGTACTACAGAGAAGAACAGAACACGTACCCTCAGTACCCTATCTCATAACCTAATTGTCCAGTGCAAAAGTGCAATATAACAAACCTACTCCTATAAAGCCATTTCTTATGTCGGAATGAAGCAAATGTGGGAATTGTTAAAACTTGGTGAATGTCATTGAAAAACAGGAGATCCCCACCCACCCCGTCTATCCCATTTTGAACAAATGTACCTTAAAACTGCAAGAAGGTTGAACCCCCCCCCCCCCCCCCCCCCCCACACACACACACACACACTGTGTGATACTACATGAGTGGCGCCTGCCAGAGGCATGGTAGATATGTGAAGAAAGAGAGGTTAACTGCAATGCGGGAGCAGCAATTGGACAAATAACTAAAAAAGTGACACATCACATCTGCATTTCCAGCAGGTCAAATGGGACCGCGATTGATGATTGTGTCCATTTTGAACCATCACACATTAATTCTATGTGACCATGGTGTGAGCATGTGGGTGTGGGTGGGTGCACATGGGACTCTATATGGATGGGTGGGGGTTATGCTCAAAAGTTTAGATGTCAAGGGGAAAACTAGCTTAGGGTTGAAACTATATAAGCTTGTGCCACATACACATAGGTACTTGTATAGATGAGTTCTAGGTCCTTGCTAGAGGCCATTCAGACACCTGTTGGTAATCACCATCTGTTGCCTACCAACAATGAACATAGTCCATGTAGTATAGTTCCTAGAAGCAACAGAAAGATCTGTCTTTTTTTTTTCTAATTGTACTGCCTAATACTATTGTAGACCTTGAACTAGAACATAGTGACTATGTTTCGAAGCTTGACATCATGTCAAGTAACCTTCACCTTCTTAGTGCAATGCCGCAGGGGCAGTCCTTCCCTGCCAAGTAATCTAGATGAGCTAGCATGAGGAATTTTACATGCACCTCTAGTCAATCAAGTTTGTGTGCGTGTTCGAGAAAAAAAAAGCGTGTTCGAGAAAGAAATCAAGTTTGTGGATAGACAAGCTTATATCGGTTGAATACGATTGCAAGTCATGTAAAATATTGTCAAAACCATGATTATTCCGTTCCTATTAGTTCCATCATCGAAGAATGAGAAGTATCATTTGAATAAAAAACTATCATTCTGATCTGAACACTTGCGAATATATATCTTGTATAAAAAAATATTTAAAAGGGATTAGCTACAACGACAAATAAAATGTAATGTCTAACAACAGTTTGTGGGAAAATATCATACGGATATTCAGCATAAAGAACTGGTAGCTAAATAAGTAAATAGGACTCCATTTTTTAACACAGCTACAGAGGACCGAGGACCAATTATAGTACTTAGTTCTTACATCTTAAACAGAATGTCACTAGTATGGATTTGGCTTGCTTTCAATCTGCAATTTCCTGTAAGTATTGCAAAATTAGAAGGATCTGAACTCACCACAATTTTAGACTCAAAAGGGTGCTCGTCCTCCAAATGGGCGCAGAGAGAAGTAACATCATGATCTTCATAACAATAAGGGCATGGGAAGTCTGAGCGTACATCATCCTCAGGTTCGATGTCATCATACCCGAATCGATCTGCAAGTGTGTTTATTTGCGACATAAACAAAGTGTTTTTATAGAAATGGATTCATTTCGATCTGCATGCAATAAGGGAAATGAATTGAACAGCAAGTAGCATAAGAAAAATATATAACATATAACAACACCGATAGCACCTTTCATCTCAAAGGAATGGGCATATCTGTAATACCAAAAGGAAAGCCATATCGCAAAGCAAAATCTGCAGCATCATTTCAGAAATAAAATTCTAGACCAATAGTGTTGTACAAGTGTCTTGTGTCTAAGTGTCATGGATAGGTTACCACAAAATACTCTACAGAAACATTTGTCGATTTCCAAAGATGTGATTGATCTCTGGATTATCTAACATGAGAAAAACTGCACATTTCAGATTTATCTAGTATTCAAAGGATTATAACATTTGATACTTGCATAATCTATTAACATTATAACAACATAATTTGTTCATCTTCCTCTCTTTTATTTGGTCCTACGCCGGCAACTAAATGGAGAAAGTAAGATGCATTCCTCCTGCAAAATCGAACCTACTTTAGGTGCTCACCTGACACCTAGTGAATCAAAACAAAAATCGCGGAAAATACTAGAAATTAGCGGCGAGCTCCCAATCGCGTCAAACGGGGAATGGAGATCCAAGAAAGAAGCTTCGCCACGATGCAACCCAATCCCCGGACAAATTTCGCCCCGCTGGAACGATCACCAGCTGAAGACAGGTCGCATTTCTCTGCAACGGATGAAGAAACGAGAAGGAAAGGTACCGTGATGGGATGCCGGAGCGGCGTGCTGGTGCTGAGTGCGCTGCAGCGCAAACTGCCGCTTGGCAGCCATGAGACTCGAGATCCAGAGGTCGGAATCCATGGTGGCTGCAGGCTTCCCCTCCTGGCCTCTCCCCTCTTCCCCCTCCGCACGGTAGAGGTAGACGGCAGGCACCACCAACCGAAAAGCGGATTAAAAATATTTTTTTCCTATTTGATGGTGATTTATCCTGTTTTTATTTAGAATTTGGGAGGTGTTTCCTTCCAGTATCTTGTTTGAATGCGTATATATTCATCTAAATCTATACGTGTTAAATAAATTAGAGTGAAATTAAACTAAATTATATTTTATTTCAGTCCAACACATATGAATTGAGCCAGATACATATGCATTCAAATAAGGCCTTAATAAGACCGCCGGTGGTTGCTTGGTTGGGAGCACTTATCATTATGTTGTTTTTGGGTAGAGCATATTCAATACTGTAGTTGCTAAAAACACAATTAGTAAATTAATAATTTTCAAGTCGCTAAAAAATAAATAGTATTCTCTTCGTCCCATAAAAAATATTATTCTCGCTGCTCAAGAAGTCAAATATGGTCACTTTGACTAAATATATTTAAAAAAATATTAGTATTTATAATGTATAGTTAGTATATAATAAACTTATTTGAAGACATAAATGTTGCAAATATTTTTTATAGACCTAATCCTATGGCAACATATTTCAAAGGCACAGAGAGTATATATGTTGACTTTCTTCCACTATTTCTAATGTCTCCTCCAAGAAAAGAGAAGTAGGGTTGGATAGAGCCGGCTCGGCTCGTCGTAGCTCGGCTCGTTATGGCTCGGCTCATTATCAAATTGGCTCGCCTCCGCTCGTTATACTAACGAGCCAGGCTCGCTTGGCAGCTCGAGCTAGCTCATTTGGCTTGTGAGTTAACTTAATTTTTTTCCGGTTGAGGTTATTCATTCAGCAAAAGACTAAGACGAATACTGATTTGAGAAAAGCAAAATAAATAAAAAGTTGGATGATTTGATGCTGGTTTAGAAAAATCAAGAAAAAAAACAAAAGCTAATGCTTGCTGCTGTGCATTGGCTTGCAAGGGAGTAAGCAAAGCTACGATTGAAAGGCCCTAGCGAGCAGCAGGCGCCGGGCGACTTACACGTGTGCCACGTGCGGCGGCTCGGGAGGGGAATAGTCGAGCGCGCATGCGTTTACGGCTACGCCTGCACAGAACAGCGGTTGGGGGAAGTCTAGGGCCTAGGGGTGGGAGCGTGGGTGTTGGGGGCTAGAATTTTATCATATTGGGCCAATGGGACATGGCATATATGGGCTGATTTAAGTTGCTGTCATCTGATTTACTTTGGCTCATTTTGGCTCACGAGCGGCTTGCAAGCTAGATCGAGTTGGCTTGTTAATTAACCGAGCTAAAGTGTTGTCTCAACTTGTTTAAAAATTCAAACGAGCCGAGCCCAAGCCGAGCCACTAACGAGCGAGTCGAGCGTGCTAGCGAGTTACGAATTTTTCATGCAGGCGTAGAAGGCAATTTTGCATTAGGAATCTTGGACTATTTCTAAATCACTCACCCAATTACTCCATTTATTGTCTCCTCACGAAGCCATGTAGCCTGCTATTTTTGTCCCTTGGATTTGCCATCAATGGCCACGACAGTAGTGGCTACAACGATCCTTCTAGTAAAGCCTGGCCCCCACAAATGCCGTGGTCACCACAGCCCACGCCCCTTATCCCTTTAGCCTTCCTCCGCCTCGACCAAAAAGAAGATGGAAAAATCCTCCACTGCGCTGCTCCCCATGCTCCTTGTATCCCCGTGTGCCACCTCGGACGCCTCTTTGTTGTGCACACCATCGCCCTGCAGTCTCCTCCTCGCATGTGCCTCCCCACACCAAGGTTGGCGACGTGCTTGTCGTGACGCCGCCGATGCCACCACGCCACCCATCTGGCTCGGCTTGCCGACGCGATCCGCCTCTCCCACCACCATGCACTCCAATCCTCCATCTTCCCAACTCTGACGGCTTGATGCTGTGCTGCGTCGGCATGAGAGCCCCATGTGGCCAAACCCTAGCGGTGCAACCAGCCCGTTGGCGTGCGCGAGCAGATCAAGGTACTGTCGTCTCTCTCCCTTCCACATCTAGGTACTGTCGTCTCTCTCCCTTCCTTGCACCTTCGTGACCACGTCCTCAGGTTGCTCTCACCCATGGCACCGTCACAACATGTCAAGGGATGATGCCCGCCCATATTTTCCGCAGATATCCGCACAGCTGCTGGCCTAGGGATTCATTGTTGCCCTGATTTTTGCCTTGTGCCCCCAAATAATATTTACCAGAAATTGTTAAACATGATCGGCCAATACAAATAGTATTTAGCCATACAATGTTTCATCCCTGCACTAATATTCATAGCTAATTAGTGTTAAGTTTGCTAGATGATGCTTCAGCCTTTGATGATTCACATTCGCTAAGGTTTGGGTTTTCTTACTATACTATTTTATTTGATTGGTTTGCCTTCTATTTATACAGAACAAGACTATGGAGTCAGCACCATCAAACACAGGTATAGGTATGCTCTCCTACTTCCCTTACTTTAATGTTGTAAATACCGTTGTCCTTCCTCCACTGGCACATTTTTTGGATCCCAATACATTGGTCCTAGGTGTGATTGGTACCTCCTATCCAGAGGAGTCTGGACATGCCAGCTGTGCGCTTATAATTCCTAAGGGACTTCAGGGACATGCATTCCCTGATACAATTTTAGGTGATAAATAGTTTGACGAGGGGTTGTTTCCATATCTGCCTGATAAACATAGGTGCCGTCCTCTCGACCAGCCTGTAGTGGCCCCGACCGACAAGGGGCTATCAGGAAAGTGCCATTTGTACCTTCTCTTTAGGATCTTTTTAATGGTCGAGTGACATACAACAATCCAATTATCAAACGATCACATGACTCCATTATCGTACGATAAATGTTATGTTTAAATTGAAAACATTGATAATCGTTATAACTCGAACATAAAGTTAATGAGATTACAAATTAGATTAACCCTTCCTATCAGTCTCTACTAGTCGCTCACACATGAACATCAGAGTTAACCTGCAGCTCAACTTGGAATCGCCCATTCCAAGTCTACTATTCTTCGACTTATTGAGCAGGGCTCATTTGTCATCAAGCCAAAGTACCTGCAGATAACTTAATGACAACACCTTGAGTTCATTTCGTACTCACGGACTTAATTCCAAAATATATATTTGGTGGATGCAAAAGGAGTAATAGGCATTTGTATATTTGCATAAAAAGCATTTCGTGCTCAATTTCAACATGCTCATGATTTATAATAGATTAACCGGCAATTACATATTCATGACAAGTAATGATGAATAACATAAATTAAGTGATCAACATTATAAATCAACTCATAACTAAGTTCATCATCAACACTACATAGAGTCTATAAGTAAGAACAACCAAAGGTTCCGTCCCAAAGGACTTTAGGCTTTTAAATAAACTCGACAGAGGTGTACAACTGTACCCACATGGACACTAAGGACGAACCTCCATACCCGTGTGCGGATAAGGATTGCCTCATGGTTCCAACTTTTCCTCAATATGGCTCTCATATCCATGGATGGTTTGTGCTGGGTCCCGATGTAATGTCGTCACATCTACACTGCGCAACCCCCCCCCGGCCCGTGCCAAATCCTCGCGATAAGCAAGTCACCACTGAATCAGCTTACTGCCCTCATATGCGATATGTGGTCTGTATAGGTGGTTACTCAAACTCGCTATCCCAATGAGCAGTCCTTAATTACTCCACGATCTACGTCACTGAGATCCAACACTCATAGTGACCTTACCCTTCGCTTGAGTAGAGGTTACCAAAATTGATCATCATAGTAATATATCAAGTTGGGGTTGGTCCTTAGTCACATTGAGTAAATAATTAAGTTATCATCCTTGCAAGGTTTTAGTAATTTGTTTATCCCGGTGCAGCATCCTACACGCGTGAGAGTGAGTTTCCTTCTCACACTCGACTTCTAACGTTACTAAGCAATTATGCTTTCCAATCCCCGTTGGTTAAGTGAAAGGCTCTAATTACTTAATGAGTAGTTCTATGTTGATGAAGCAATATTAAGTTGTTAATCATATTGGAATGAAGTGCAAACTCATAAATGAACAAGTAATGAGTATCCAAAATAGGGTTCATAGTATTGGGGTGCTTGCCTGATCATGTCATCCCAATGACCGAGGATGATGATGATGACTTATACATGATCCTCACAAGCTAATCGAACCTAAAATGGAGGATACAGGAGATAAAGATAGAGATTGCAATTTGGAACTTGAAAAGAGACATCTAACTAGACTCTACTACTACACTATTTGTTATCTAGTGTGGTCAAGGTTTGTTGACTATTAGCAGTCCTTAACTCACACTTTTAACCGCCAACACTTACATAAAATCCATCCAAACAGACACCAAACTTAGACATAGGGCTTTAGAACTAACGATTTCCATGAGTTTTGGTGTTTTACTATTCATAGGAGGACATGTCGGAATAACAAGGAAAACACGCCCAAAATACGCAATAGCACATGGCATAACATCACCCGACATGAGCCCAGGGGGAGAAGGCCCACTTACTAGGCAAATCAGGGCCCTGTCATATGGAGAAAAAGGGCCAAAACCTGAAGCAAACATGCTCCAAATAGGGCCAAACTTTGCAGGAGTGGCCCATGCAGTCCCAGAGGCCTACACAACAAAGATTGGGCTGAGACGGCACCCTAGGGTGCAGCCCCTACAGGCGTGTCTCAGGCCCATCTTTGGCGAGCTACCTCTCACCACCTCTCCAAACATTGGTTGCATGGGCATCGTGGAAGACTTGGTACGGAAGATGGTGGTTTGCCCAAGATAGGAAGGCATGCAAAGAAGCACAACTCCACTCCATCTCCACCATTGATCTTATGACGGTTTGATCCAAGGGCCATGTTGAAGAGAGCACACGGATCGCTGACATGGCACATGTTGGTATTTCTTAATGCATACAGAAATAATCCGCAAGCACACGGAATTACCATTGTAGAATTT